CAATAAGGTCCCAAGCAAAATACAACAATTAGATATCATGCAGTTTAAATCTACTATTAAAAAAATACTTATTAAAAAAGCTTATTATAAGGTATCCGATTATATAACAGATAAGAACGCTTGGACTTGAGATGATCCAGCAACTGGATAGGTGATTACTTCTAAACTCATTATCTTGTTTCCATTATTATTAAATGATTATGTTATTATTATAAGACCATAGTTTTTTTTATCTCTGTTTATAATGTATTGATCTGGTAATGACATGGTTTTTGTAAATGTCATTACTCATATTAGAGCTGGTGAGTTTCTTGCTCGTTCTTCTTATCAGCCAAAAGACGTCCTGAACGAGTGGTAGGGAAAAAATGTTGGACGATTCAAAAGTACTTTTAAGAAGTCTATTTGAATAAAGATTATTTTGACTTTGACTTTGACTATTTTTTATTTAATTTACTAGTACAATTTGTGACGTTTGTTTTAGAACAAGAGAGGAAAAAGCTATTATAAACAGTTTCTCACTATCCCGCAAAATTTCTGTGTAAAACGGAAAAAGGTCATTTATGTATATAAAAAAACATAAATGACCTTTTTCCGTTTTACACAGAAATTTTGCTAGTGTAATATGTCAAATTAAAATGGCTTTTACACATTTATTAAGCCATAGACATAAAAGAAGAGGACCGGCCATACCTACGAAAAAAGCGTATATGCCTAAACTTGAAATGCAAATTCTTCGATGGCGGACTGTCATAGGGCGCGACCCATGATATCGATATTTGTATCGACATTGAAGTCATATTAAATAAAAGTTAGTAATTCGTGAAACTGTTACAAAAAAACTACTTATTAAATAAAGTAATATAATTTCCATTGTTAGGGGCATGGCTAAACTATTACCTATTATACTTCTATTCGTTTCACACTTACGTACCAATCCTATTTATGATTATTATTAATTAAATAGATAAATTCACGCCAGTTTTAAGAAAATAATATTTTGTTAAAAGTGGCGTGAATTTATCAATTATTTATAAATCTTTAAACAAACTTTTGCTCGTGTTTTGTTGGACATCTAAAAGTCTCATTGTTCTTGCGACTCCGTTGCGTCAGTACAGTAATTATAACTTATGTTACCAGCGTATGATGGCGCTTCCCACCGGTAAAAGATTATTCGTATTCCAAATTTCATCAAAATCCGTTCAGTAGTTTTTGCATGAGAGTAACCAACATCCATCCTCACAAACTTTCACTATATAAATATTATTTTATAATATGATTGTACCTCGATAAATATGTTTCTTTTTCCTCTAATATAGACAATTTTACGTAGTTTTAAGAAATATAGTACCAAAATATATATCTTAAAAGTTTAACAATAATATCAATCGTGTTTCATAATTATTCCATATATATTGTAAAGTTGATATTTTGCAACTATAATTAAATAGTTTTTTTTAACATAAGTTTAATTTTGCATCCACGGGAAGTGTGACCACTGCCCAAGATAACTGCCACGGTAACTATAATAAGCTTTAAATGAGTCGATTGACGAATGAATTATTATGTTTTTTTTGTCTGTTATATATTTTTTATTGTTATAGTGGAAAGTGACATTTTGGTACAATGAAGTAATTTTTTATTTTTCAGTACAGTACAGATGATGCATCAGCAAAATAAACAGCCACGCCGCAAAATAATTATTTGGGTATTAAGATTATACTATTGAACAGCAAAGAAAACCTTTAAATTTTTATTAAAATTATTTAACTCATTTTATTGTAATTTTACTGGGAGTATATTATGATCAGAATTTTATATTTTAATATTATTATATATTGCATTCTGATTTTTTTCAATTAAAATAGTTGTCATATGACCGCAAGACTAAAAATAAGGTACATTTATAGTATAACAAAATGACTATATAAAAAACTAAATAAATAAATCAGTAAAATCAAATGAAAATTAACTAAGTGTAATAGACAAAAAAATTGTAAAATTAAGTTAAAAGCAATTGTCAAATATTCTTACCAGCGTATTTGATTGGCAATGCATCATCTCGTAATTTTATTTTATTTAAAGTTCGATTCAAACAACTTTCCCTAAAATGAAGTGAGCAGATAAAAGTAACTTTTTCATTATATTTAATATTTTCTGCTCCAATGGAACTCGGCCAAATTCCTCTTTTTGTTTCATCTTTTATAATAAAATTATTTATATAAACCAAACGTTGAAGTAACAACACTAGCCATGTAAACAACATTATTTACGGACCGAAATATTATAAAAATATAAACGAAAAGAGCAATATAACATAAATAGAACACGCCAAAATACGATATGTATCGATTTATACACGAAATCATTTTCAGAATAACTTACTTACGTTTTAAATACTGTTTTTCTAAGAAAGTGTTTAACTTACCGGTGAAACGTAATATTGCTCGGGATATCGATGACGCACAACCAATTACACTGCACCTAGGCATTGTTTTGCATAAATAATTTACAATTTGCTGCCATGAAAGTTATATAAATTAAAATTATAAATGAAAATAAACACAAAACTTATAACACTGACAGCAGAACTACTTCCGAGAATACGCACTGCAAATTTGCAAATGGCGGACAGGTGGTACGATAGCTATATGTCATGACGTCACGTAAAAAATTTTGAACTGTCACACTAGTGCGATCTTTGTTTACTAAAGAAACTTCTTATTAGTTAAAAAAAGACAACATGATGTTTTCGATGTCAACTTCAGATTGCAAATTATATTTATATAACCATAGAAAATATTTCCACTCTACTTATCTCTATATATTACCCAACTAGCAAAAATATGTCGTATAGTAGTCGCGGCAACGAAAATTATTCAGCATTTTGGCTCCTAATAGAAGTCGTATAAACGTAATGAAAACGTTTATACAACGCGATTTGGGCCCATTTTATTCAGCAATTCAGTCACATAGACATCGTATAAAGGTAACTTATTAAGGTAAATCGTCACGTAATTATCGCCGGAGTGACTGTTACAAGCTTATGTTGCGCTATAACTGTAACTTATATGACTTTTATATGACATGTTTGTCTTATTGAAGCGACCTGGGATACAAAACAGCTGAAAACATTTATAGTAAATAAAATACTTCGCTTCGACGTGTTGTGTTTTCAAAATTATAATTCATCGGTAAGTACAATTTATTTAGCAGACATGTTAATTTGTAGGTTGCACCAAATGTAGGTTCGTAAACTCACGCATAGGGTTGTAAAGTATTGCGAAGGTAAGTTTTCTGAGGAAATATACTAGGTTATATCATAAATATTTAACGCCCCCCTTTAATTCTTAGTAATATGAATATAATAACAAATATTTTTATATCAATATTATTTTTGTACACCATTTTTACTGCTGACAGGCGGTATAATAGCTTCTTATACAGCAAATTAGCAGTATGAGCGCCATGATACCACTCTGATTATAGTTTAGGGTTCTTTAGAACTTCCTAAAAAGTTTTCTAAAAAAGACTTTTTGTTTGTTTATTTATTTAATTAACTATTTATTGTACACAACAAAACTAGAACAAGTTACACAACAGGAACTGCTTTATTTCTGAAAAGAAATTAATATCTTTCATACGCCCATTCTGCAATATTATTACGCAACTCAGTCTTTGTCAATGGAATGGTCTTTGTCAAAGTTTTCTGAAGCACTACTGTCGTCTGAATCTATTTCGTGTACGGAAACACTATTTTCTAAATCTCTCAATTCATTTTCCAAACACGGATTTTCAAATTCCAAATCATGATTTTTCTCTGAGGTAATTATTTCACCTGCGGAACCACTTACTAAAATATTATTTCCCACTTCACTGCATAAACAAGAGGTTCCTTGCTCAATAATAATATTTGATTTACCCATTAACGATTGATACTTTCTTTTCACTTTCCTCTTGTATCCACCACTTTTTTTCAAGTTTTTCCATTTATTCCAGTCCATTTTCGATAACTGTAAACTACTTACAGAATTTTACACAAAACAATCTGATCGGTGTAATGGATACAATTATACGACATTTTAGGCTTGTAATAGTCGTATAAATGCGACGTATGCTACATAATAGTAGTATAAAAGCAACAATGTTGCTTTTACTCGACTGAGTCAACCTTGCCATAAGAAAGCTATATAATATGCTTTTACTCGACGAAATAGTAACATAAGCGTCGTATACTAGCGACTTATTCAGCAAAATATTATATGACACTTAAGTCATATAAGGATGCTGACTAAACGTTTACTCAGCATCATTATGTGACCGAAATGCTGAATAACTCAAAAGCTATATAAGATGCTTTTATACGATACGTGCTGAATAATTCACACTTACTCGACTTTTATAACACCGAAAAGCTGAATAAACTTTACCTTATATGACTAATTTGCTAGTTGGGTAAGCACTCTAGATGTCTGTTATGGTTAAGCGTGATTGGTTATAATTATATTGGAGCATTCTGATTGGCATGTTTAAAATGCCATTGTGTGCAAATCTTTTGTATAATTGGTCTAATATTTTGTCTGATGTATGGCAGACGAAAAGTGGGGCAAGACTGGCGATATCAGTTTTCGTTCGTACAAAGGATGCATGATCGCCTTTCTAACCTCTTCCGTGTTCTGGGGATTGGGTCTAGGTGCTATGACAATTTTCTTTATAGTGGTTGGATATTTCCCGAATAAAGTACCAAAAAAACATTCTCCTTTATAAAAATGTATCCTCAGCCGCGATAAAATATGGAGCAAAGAGAAAAATAATATATGGAATTAGTCAGGTCAGCTACCACAGAATAATTTATTCTGTGCAGCAATTTCGGTATAAAAAAGAAAATAGTATTTTATATATTTTTATTTTAAGTTTAAAGGGTTTTGACTACACTTATAAAAAAATATCGAATTATATTCATCTTATGCAAAAATAATTTGAATCTTTCAATAGTTATGTTAATCGAATATATCACGGACATGTCCAAAATTTACAGGTTTTTTAAGAAGTTAAACCTAATTGCCCTGTTGAAAGATACCAAGTGGAGACAGAACTAGATCTGTATTTGTACTGGCAATAATAGCTCTCATTAGCATCATATCGTCAGGGGTGAACTGCCAGCCGCTTAGCTGCCCCAAACTGGTCAGTTTTGGACAGCATTCCATTAAAAGGTCCACTGTGTCTCGGGTCAGTCGAGGCGCGTTGGGGAACCAAATCCCCTCGAGGTTTTCAAATTTATATCTACGAAGCATTCTGGAATATTAAAGAAAACAATATTTGAGTAAACGCTATTTGAATTAAGGTGTTGGTTTCTAATGCCATCTCGATCGTTTTATAGTTGAAGTTTTTACAAGTACATTTTATAAGTAGTCTATAATATGTATTGAAAAACAAGTGAGAAAACGATTTTTAACTATTACGACACATCCGATCAAGCCATAGATACTGTCTCTACTACTACTAATTTTGTATACGAAATATTGATTAGGAATCTTTTAAGGAGGAGAATTATAATGGCGTCCTTAGAAACCAGGACTGGTCGTTAGCCACAAAGGTAATAAAAACTAGCATACCTGGACATATCGTTATCGTCTAGCTTGATTTCGTCACCAATTATTAATTTTTTGAGCATAGGGCTCCCCGTCATCAAATATTTAAGACAAGACGAGGACAAGTTGCCATGTATGATTTCAACGTGTTCCAATTTGTTAAATGGAATTTCTTCCTCGTGAGTAGCAGTTTGTATTTGAAAGAATTCTAAAGATTCAAGATTTCTGCATGTTTCTGCTATCCTAGTGAAATTAAATGAACCAGATGACCCTGAGAGCATTAAAGTCACTATCTTGTGTCCAATTTTATCCAACAATTGATGCAATTCGTGACATTGGAATTTGTTCAATTTGATTTTGTTGATATAATTTAACTCTCTGATTTGCTGTAACACTCCTTGATCAGGTTCCTCTAAATATATCGTTTCTAAATCTGGACATAATGCTAGTATAGCTTTCATGGTCCTCATATTAGTTTGTACATCATGTAAATATTGTAGTTTAGTTTTAAAATCCTGAGGACAATTTGTGTTATAAATGTGAAGAATGGATTTTCCGACAAAAGAGTAACTACCAAGGTTGGTCAGATTAGGCAATCGTCTTATTAGCAAAGCTACATCAGTATGATCAATATTTTCTTCTCCGTACATGCCAATATTTACAACTGTCAAACTCCTTGTTAATTGTGAATTGCCATTCAGCATTGCGTTTATACCTATTTCCGTAATATCCGTTTCACCTGACACGTCCAGAAGCTTCAAAACTTTATTATGCTCTCCGATATATTTCAATACTTCATCATTAGCTATGTATGGTATATTAAGTACGGTAAGATTAGTGAGATTTTTAATCAGATGATACATTAGCGTCAAATGTTCCTCTTTAACCCAAACACCTTTCAAATTGAGAGACGTCAGGTGGTGTCCTTGTTCGATAAGTAGCTCAAGGATTTTTCTATAATAAGGACACGGAAACATTCCAGTGGCTAGACTTTTTACATTTTCTTTGAGCAATAATCGCATCGTAAAATATCTAACAGACGGATCAAGATACTCTGAAGTTAATATTAAGTTCATGAGATCTTGGAAAATGTCATTGGTGGCGCCCATACTTTCATAGTACGAGGATACCATGGTAAACGGTAAGGACACATCCTCTTCAGCCGTAACTCTAGTCAGTGTATGTATTAATTGTCTGGCCACTAAAGATAATGTAATCTCCTGCAACGGTGGTACTGGACACTTGGGTGACATATTCACAAATTACACTAACTAAACCTGCATAAAATATCACTTTCACTAAAATATTCCACTAATTGTTCTACAAAATATTGAGCATCACGATATCGATGTTTCGGCTATCAATTTTGGAAGAGAAAGAAGTAAAAAATCTGAGTAACTATTTAGCTCACGCATGCGCGCTTTGGTTGGCCCGATGCCAGCCCAAGTTTATAATTCAAACTCGCGCAAACTCGGACGCATTATGTATTTATAGAACATTTATTATAAAAGGTGTTTACCACTCGCTTCACATACAATTTTATCGTGATAGTAATCAAATATTTGTAATATATAAGTCGGTAAATCCGCGGCAAGTGAAGTGTCTAAGAATGCGTTAGAATATCTTTGTATACTATAAAAAACAAGTTATTTTTGAAAATAGCGGTTTATAATGGAACAAACCCGCAATAAAATGGTAAATACAGCACGAGTTGATGAGCTATTAACATCTGTATTTGAATTTATTTTCATTATGTTCATACTGATGATTTATATCTTATATATAAAAATAAGTTGCTGTTCGTCTAGCTAAAACTCGGGAACGCCAAAGTACAAAGGTTTAAATGGTGAAAGGTGATACGAAGTACACCGGGTCATCTAGTATAAGACAGAGTTAAACAATCATGAAATAGGGACGTAGACAACGGTTTTTATATTTTTATTTTATAGATATACATGAAATATATATATAAATATTTATAAAAATTTATCATTCATATAACAAGTTAAAATCTAAAAATATATTCAATTTTAAAAACATTTCCCGCGACAACGCCACTTTTATCATGACGTCACTATGATATCACAGCCCTCTGAAACTAATATCAGTTTTAGTGTCCGATTTCACGTCATTTAGTGTAGAAATACTATTGATTCTATTTTTTTCCATAAACATACAAAACAAAATTGATTGAATATACGTGTCTCAGATAATTTCCTATGTCATTTCGAAAGTCACTTTCTTATGCCACCAAACGTTATTACCAATTCAAGTTTGAGCGGATGTTTCTTTTTGAAGTGAATTCGAACACCTAAGTGAACTGCAGGGCTGATATGAGTAAGAGGGGTGTGACGTCACGCGCTGTTTACGGTCACGTGACAACGATATTTGTTTTATCATAATTAATTAACACAATATGTTAACGCTGGACAAACGCCTATAAGAATTTTAACAGCAATTGTACCGTCATATATTTCTATTACTTTTATCACATGACGGACAACCGCAGAATTAATATTTTGTATACCTTTACTTAATATTTACAATTGTACTGTAATATGTAGCTATGCGATATATTTTGAATTCATATAATATTGTTAAAGAACACGTTTTGGGTTTCATTTTGAAACTCCATTGTGTCACAATATTATCGTCCGATTACCGGCAATAGTATATTAAACACTACCAGAAAAAAAATGTATTTATTTTCGTTTATTGTCTACACCCGTAATACTTTTAAATATTTAATTAGTGAAGGACAGTATAAGGAGTATAACAAAATTAATTGAAACTTATTTATTTTGTACTCTTATTTATTTCATTAATCATTATATTTACACCAAAAAATATTCAAAATATTCTTGATCAAGAACACAGTGCTAAACACTAGTACAAATTCACTTTAATATTGTTAAATGTGTGAAATTACTAATTTTTCAACTACTGTACCAAGTCGCGACCTAACTCAATATATACGATATATTTATTTCAATATATACGAATACAAATCCTGTTAATAAAATAACACCCTATCGTTAATCGAAAAGTCTGAATACTCGAATTAATTTGTTTTAAGTTGGAACAGGTAAGTTTTTAGCTACTAACAGTAAAATCTGTTCGATGCTAAAGCACCAGTTGGCAATGTCCTTGGAAACTTTACACCATTGTTCGCCGTGGTGTGGTTCCGCCGCTTTACAACGTGTCTTCACGTCTTCTTGCTGTTGTTCATTGCCATGAAGCAATTCGAATTTGTAGAAGTATGCCCATGCATCGCCCAGATCCGGATCGATTTTCACCTGTATTCATAAAGATGTAAGCGTCAATTCAGAACGTGCGTATAATTGGGGAAGATTACCGGTAATTCAGATTAAGCAGAATTAAGGTTGCTATATTATTTAAACACAGACGAAATGTCCTTATCGAGCAAATGAATACAGTTGCGTACTAATTTTTATTTGTAGTATAATACTAAGTACGTACTAAGTTTTATGTCTGTTTGTAGTATAAAAATGTATATGTATGTATACACGGTATAAATAACATTTTTAAAATTTTCTGTCTGTTTGCTTCGGCTAATCTCTAAATCGGCTGGTTCAGTTTTGACAGAACTAGCAGAGAGCTTATATAATAAGGAGTAACTAAGGCTACTTTCAATGCGGATGAAGCTGGCAATGTATAAAAAAGGAATGACAACAAATTTGATTGCAATTTTAAACTTTGAGATAAGTGAATGACCTTAAATAAAATATGAAAGTTCTCGATGACGTAATGGTTAGTATAGTCTTAGCATAATCATGAAAGAACTTTTTTACTAACCGTTCTGTTGAACCACTCCCGGCACTTATTGAGTTTTCTCTCAGTCCAGAACAGCTGTGATACGGCCAATAAAACATGTGCATCGTGCTCGCATTTTTTGAGGGCATCGACCTAAAGATTAATACAAATATAGTAAAAAATAAATATTTTAAGAAAAAATAATTGTCACAACTGACATCAAAACTAATAAAAAAAAATGTATACACAGTAATGAAATCAATGTGTTTAGGCAAAAGACTGATACTGATTCTTCAATAAAACGTTGAATACAGCACAATATACTTATTTATTTTGATAATAATTAACATAATTGTGGAGCTCGATTTACGTAGTGCGAGGTCTTATGATAGAAAGGAAAATTAATAAAAATTATTTCACAAGCAAAGGCTAATACGGACGCCTTCTATAATCAAATAGCAACTTTATGCGACTTGCTACTAATAAAACGCAAGGCGCCTCTAGGCGCAAACACAATGCATACAAATATACAAAAGTTATTGTACTCAGTATTCGATATCCCCTTTTGCCATAACAATTATTCTGGAATAGCAACAATATTTGGTAACATGATTATGTTCAATATTTATCTATAGTTATATTATAAACAGGATATATTTGGTTGGTTATTATTTTATTAACAGGAATATTGGTACAGTCCTAGCCGTCCATGTCCAATTTAAAAACTCTTACAATACAACGAGTTTATCATATACTCACACTTTTGGTTTTCCTCTGTGGCCTTGATTCCATGAAGATAGCTTCCGCCCACAAACGTCCAGCGTTGGGGCATTCTTGAAGAGCTTTCGCCATCACAGCATTCGCTATTTCCGCACTACCATTACGCCTCTCCAGTCTGACACTCTCTAACCTATCACAAATAAGAAATGACATATTTTTTTCCGGGAAAAATGTGACATTTATAATCATCATCATCAGCCTACATCACTAGGTACTACTACCACTCTTTTCTATGGATGGTATGGTATTGAATAATGAAATCTGGCGCCTAGTTTTCCAATTTTTAAATCAGTTCAGAGTACAGAGAAGTTTTTCTAACCTAACTATGTCCGTTTCTGAAACAAGGGGCTTAACGTGCCTTCCGAAGCACGGAAGAGATCGAGATCGTAAATTTTCAGTTACGCATCCAATGACGAAAGTCTCATGATCACCCCACAGACTGACATACCTAAATGTTGCCTCATCGAGCTCCTCTTCCTAATTTCGTAACAATATTGCAGTCTAATACGAATTTATCACAACCGATAACTTCAAAAAGTTTTGTAATGGGTTTGAACCTATGATCTTTTGCTGAAATATTATCATCATTTAAAGACCTTGGCTTATTAATTTCTTAAGCAGTCTACAGTTGCAGCTGAATATTATTGATATAGATACCATAATTCTGGATTCTTTGGATTCCTCAGTCTTGCTTTTTCTAGGACAGATCTAGCTTTTGTAACGTGTTTCAGCTTTTCTTCTAATCTTGATAGTAATATCCACATGGGTACACTCGTTGCACATTTCTTCAACTAAAAAATAATTATTATGTTAGTAAAAACAAGATACAGATGGTTAGAAAATATACCGCAATCGAGCTGAAAAGGAGTCCTTTAATCAGTTACGCGACCGTGCAAAAAGTTAGAGTAGGCATGCTATACGAAATATATGGCCTATACAAACTACCTAAAGCAGTTTCGGTCATATATAAAATTAAGAAAAAAATCAAGCTCTCTCTCTCAAGCGCACAAATATATTTAGTGAACGTGAGGAACGAACGGGCAAGCGAACTCTGCTAATAAAGTTAATTTTTGATAAAAGATGTGGGGAATCTATGTGATAATTCAATAGTTTATAGAGAAACACTAAGTCAAATTGCTTTCGACGGTCCTTTAAAGATATAAGTTTGTGACGTTTTAAAGAGTCTATATATGGTACGTTGTAATTATGTATACGGTAATTTAATATTTTTAGAAATTTCCATTTTTAATTTTTCGATTCTATCAACATCCACTTTATAATAAGGGTTCCATATAACACTACCAAAGTCTAAAATTGAACGTACAAAAGAATAATAAAGTATTTTGAGAGTTTGATTTTTTTGGAATGGTTTAGAAACCTGATTAATGAAACCTAAGTTGCGAAATGATCTTTGAACAATTGATTCTATGTGTAATTTAAACGAAAGCTTATTGTCCATCATTATACCTAAATCACGAATATTATCTACTCTTTTCAAAGTTGTGTTATTGATTTTGTATTCAAAAATATACGGCTTGCGTTTTCTCGTATAAGATACAATACGACATTTATAAGTGTTTAGAAATAATTGATTTTCAGCGCAATATAAAGACAACGAATGCAAGCTGGATTGTAAACTATAACAGTCATCTAAACTAGAAATAGTTTTAAATTTTTTTGTGTCGTCTGCATATTGCAGATAACTGCAATTGCTCAACGAGTCATTAATATCGTTAATATATAAAGAAAATAGTACTGGACCAAGATGTGAGCCCTGAGGAACTCCAGACGGTATAGGTAAATAAGTTGAACAATAGCCCTTCAGACTAACAGCTTGGCAACGATTTTTTATGTAAGAATCAAACCATCTGAGTAAATTTCCATGTATACCTAATCTCCAGTTTCTGTATTAAAAGGTTATGATTAATTTTATCAAATGCTTTGGAGAAATCGGTATACACAGTGTCCACTTGTCTGTTCTCATTCATTGCGCCGAGAACAAAATCTGTAAAAGCCACCATATTTGTATTAACGCTGCGTGATTTTATGAACCCATGTTGATTTTCTGAAATTAAATGTTGTATGTAAACTAGATAGATAGTAAGTCACTATTTTTTCCAATAGTTTGCCGAAAACACATAACTTCGAAATAGGACGGTATTGTGTTATATTACCCTTATCTTTGTTTTTAGGTATAGGTATTATAAGAGCTTTTTTCTACGTATTCGGAAAAACACCTAAACGGAGAGATGTTTGAAAGATGATGAAAAGAGGTTTACATAATTGCTTTGCACAACTTGATATGAAATATGGGTGTATACCATCAGATCCGGCGCTCTTATTAACATCAATATGTTTTAAGTATTTGAATACAATATTTTCATTCAATATCAGTTGCCCGAGATCGATAGATGTTTCATTCACAATAGTACTATTATCATATTCAATATTATAATTATCTGTGGGACTAATAAAAACAGACTGAAAATATGTGTTAAACGCGTCACAAATGTCATTTCCGGTTGAAAATGATTTATTATTATATGTAATTTTTGAAGGAATAGCAGCCAATTGGCGCTTAGACTTAACATATGACCAGAAAAAGCGGGGATTCTCCCTGATTTTGTCCTCCGAAAAAGCAATGTATTTGTGATATGTTTCATTTTCTAATTTCCTTAAACGAGAACGAAGTAGTGAAAAAATTCTATAATCAGCTTGATTCCTATATGTTTTCCACTTTCTGTGATATTTTTGTTTTTCAATAGTCAATTTTATAAGTGGTCGTGAGTACCAAGGAGGATATTTATTTGTATTTATTTGTATATGAAGTGGAACGTATTTATTAATTAGGTCATTTAAAATTTCATAGAAAAGAAGTAATTTTGAATCTACATCATCATTTGAATACACAATCCCAATCTACGGAATCCAAGCTACTTCTGATAGAATCGTAGTCAGCTCTAAAAAACATAGGTTTTTTTTTATTTTATTTTGTTTTAAAGATTCCGGCAAGTTAATTGTTAGGTTTATTTCCAGTGCTTTATGATGAACGTCTTCCGGTACGAGCGGGGAGTAAGGCAGTTTTACAGAACAATGTTCAGTGCAAAAAAATTAAATCTAATATGTGTTTATTATTATTAAAATGATTATTGTATTGATTTACGACTGATAAATTCATAAAATCACTAGTTAAGTTCGTTAATGGATCACTAGTAGCCTGCACGATCATACAATCAAGCTGTTTGTTATACTGCCAATGTGCATTAGAAATGTTAAAGTCCCCAAGAACAAGAAAAACATCCTCAGAATGAGAGTGAATTAAATTTTCTGTTCGTTCATAAAAAGAGTTTAACATCGCTTCATGATTCGCACCATGAGGTACATAAGTACAAGCAACGTGTAAAAGTATTGGTATTGGAGCTACTTGACCCTCAAGGGTGTCCGCACTGCATTTGTATTACGTTGTGCTAAAGATTTCACTCAAGTAAAATTGTAAAATCTCATATTGTGTCCTTGAGTACGCAAGTCAAATCTGGAACCCACGCTATGATATTTATATCTTGCGTATTGAACACATACAAAAAGTGGGTCCGGTTCCTATGCTATCGTACAAGGGACTATTACAGCTCTTATCTTTACAACGAATTATGTTGGAAATGCCATCTTCTACCACTTGCTCTACGACTTCATGTATTTATTGAAAGCCGCATCTAACTCAATTGATTGTCCAGAACTATCGTTGAGAATTTGGGAAATTATTTCACTTATTTTTCAAACGTATCTTATATAATTTTTGTACAACAATTTTGGTTAATCTGGTATATTATTATTAAATATCTTTATTGACTTCATATATGAGTTTCTCTTAAAATAGTCGGTTGTAATAAATGGCAAATGTTATTTATTAGGAAATCTTGTGTTAAAATCACATTTTTTTTCCTAAAGTTCTAAGTTAAACAAACAAACACACCAGTTTTAAAAACACAGAAGCGTCATCTAGCAAAAACATGTAGTTTTAACATTTTATTATTTTGCCAGATTAACAATTCCCCATTAAATTAAATTATTTGAAATACGGCAAAATTAAAAACGAAAGCCACTTTGATATAAATCGGAAAAAATAAAGACAAACATAAAAAAAAACAAAATCCCGTCTTAAAGTATAGTGGCGTCATCTAGTACACAGAAGAGGCAGCCAAATGTAACATTTTATCATATCGCGATATTAATAATTCCCCATTAATCTATGTTATTGAAAAAAAAAAATTGAAAACGACATCTATTTTATTTAATAAAAATCGAAAAAAAATTAAGATTACGAACATAACAAATATCAAAATCTCGGATTTTAAAGTATAGTAGTGTCATCTAGTGCTCAGTAGAGACAGTGCAATGTAACATTTTCGTGTACTTAACCAATATAAAATATGCAATAATATTAGTGACAACGATTATACCAAGAAAAATTATTCAAAACACTATTTAATCCTGCGTAAACAGTTTAAATCATTTAATAATGTATTTGGAAAAGGTAACATGGAATATAATTAAAATGACAAATTGAATTGTAATCAATGGTTAATATGGTAACGATTATTAAAGGCATTAGCCTTAAACGAATTTCCACTCCCATTTTCATCCCCTTATGTGCTTTTTTCGGGATGAGATTTAAGACGGACCTATGCCGCTGCGGTCTTTTTTTTTAGAACTTTTTAAAGAGGATCAATTTCGTCATACATGATTTTTGCATAATTTTCAACATTTATACTGCATACTTATGATTTATTTATTTTACAATTTTGATTTATTTAATACTAGTCAATCTTCGGCAAGAATTGTATTAAGCAATGATTTTTTCTTGTTGTTAACTCTTAATTGTATACAAGTGTTGCCCCTTTACTAGTTGTAAGTGTAAATTTGTTTTATATTTGTGACAACCTGTAACTGGCTGTCTGCTTCCTATTCTCAATATTATTTCTGTTTATTAATTGTAGGTCTTCCTATGATATAATAAATAAATAAATAAATAATATGAATCTTACTCCTTGTGAATAAGTATTATGGGCATCGTCATTTCTGCCTATTTGTTCTTCAATCTCTCCTTTCATCATATGCAGTTTCGCGTAATCCCCAAACACTTTGATTGCTTCCTCAAGTAATTTTAGGGCCTCTTCCATATTATTTAAGGCCCACTCTAATTTAGCAGATTTAATCATTACCTGTGAAAAATATTTTCAAAAATGACAAGTCATAGTGAGAAACTGGTAAGAGAAACAGTATTTGAAAAAAATACGCATATAATACCCTTGGTGTTGGAGCAGAAGCCCTAGCTTTAGCGAGTAGCCGTCTCGCTCTGTCGTACTCTTTGTTCTCACTCTCGAGTTTGACGGCAGCGAGCCAGATCTCCTCGGAGTTGGGATTTGCTTGAAAAGCGAGTGACAGAATGCCACGAGCAGCCGGAACATCGCCTGTAAACACAAATCTTTTTCCAATGAACAGACTATTAGAAATAATAAGTTGATTTAGAAGTAGTTTAGAAACTGCACAAAAACTAAAATTTAAATTGTAATAAACATAGAAATTCTTATTTGTGGTCTTTGGGTTGTTTTGTGTATATATCAAAATGACGTCATGACATGACGGGAAGCGCTTTCGCGGGTATAAAGTTTAAATTCTGATTTAATTTTAAGAAAAGAAAACGTGTTTACTTTTCCGAAATATTTGTTTTATGGCTTTTTTAATTAAGATAAACAGCTACAAGTATTACTTAAAACAGAGTAGAATACCCTATTGGGGGGTGGGTCTAAACAATTAACATCATCGCATTTTAGAAACAAATAATCAAGTATAAGCTTTTTAAACCTTGAAACAAACAGATTCATATTTCTATTCGTATTCCTTACGTTCCATTTCACGAACTGACATATCTCAATAAATCGGTTACTCACCCGCTAACCACTTAGATTTGGCGCCCATAAGCCACAGAACTTCTGATTTGGGACAATGGGCTACCGCCCTCTGCAGGAGGGCTTCTAAACTGGCCCTAGTTCCATGCTGTTTCTCTAAATATGCTGCTCTCAACCAAATAGACTTCTTAGAAGGGAATACTGATAGAGCATAACCATACACCGCTCTCGCGCACTCGTACGCACCTTCACTTGCGCACTGAAAAAACACATTTTTCGTAAACTAAGCCTAACTTGAACTAAGGATCAGGGATGTTGCTGATGAGGGTTTTTACTGAATCAGCAGATACTGATACTGATTTTTTCTCATCAATATCAGCAGATGCTGATGCTGATATTCGCAAAAACCCTGCTAAGGAAAGCTATTTGGTTGCAGCAAATAAACTATTTATTTTTCCAATATTTCTTAAATAATATAATTTATAAAATTATTACTATCTCGTAAAACTACTATGAAAAATAAAAAAATACCTTAAAACGATAGCTCAAAAGCACAAAGAAAACTGACAGACGAAATTATTTCAAGTTAGTTAAATAATAAACACTTACTAATTCAGCATCTTCCATCCACGTGTGCTTTTGATCCTCAGGTTCTATACCGTGACCAATCACAGCACGAATTATGGCCTGAAATATGTTAATTTAATGTAATAAAATATATAAAGAAGCATTTCTTGAACATCTTATCCATCTCTTTCTTTTACCTGGCAAGTGTGAACTGCTCCTGATTTTTCAGCTTCCATAGCTTCTTTGAACCAGTGTTCACGGTTAATCTCTACTCCGTTGGCACTGAGTGACGTAATCGCACGGTCTATGATCTTCTCTACCATGTGAGTGTTGCCTATGGACAAAATATTGGTGAAATTATTTTACACTATCAATGACTTATGTATATTCTTATTTTTCGTTTACTAAGTTTATTTTTAAAGGATGAACCTAAATTTTAATTTTAAAGAAGTGAAAATAAATTGTTTACTCACCATGAGCTTCTTCTAGTTTGGCGGCTGTTACCCAGATTTGGCGATCAGTCGGTATATTCTCTCTAGCTTTATTCAAAACTTTTCGAGCATTTTCATATGTCTCCAGTCTCGCCAAAGCTAACCATAGCTCGACGCTTGTAGGACAACATTCTACGGCTCTCGAGAGTAATATTCGGGCATCCTCAGGATTTTCCAATTCAACAGCTGCCTTCCAAAGGCGAACCGAGTTGGGTATATGCTCTAATGCTTTACGGAATACACGGCGTTTAGCCTATGGAGAAATAGTAGAATATTTTAAATAGTGTGCTATTGATTTGAAAGTTAGTTATTTGCAAACAGAGTGCCAAAATTTGTAATATAATATTTACTTTAGTCTCCTGTTCCAGATCAGCAGCCTTAACCCATATTCTGACACTGTGAGGAAGATTCCTAGCAGCATGTGCTATTACTGCCCTGGCTGTGTCTGGAGGTTGCAATCGGGCAGCTTCCAGCCATAATTCTTCACTGCTTGGATTCACTTCACAACCCTTCATAATAAGATTTCTGGCTGATTGAATCTTACCTGATAAAATAAGAGTATAAGAATAAATTTATGAAATTTTGGTTTTACAATTCCAGACACAAATTAGTTTTTTTTTTAATATCCAGTTTCATACATCAGATCTCAGGATCTTGAAGTGTACTATGTAATTAAATTGTAATAGATTATAATTTGAATACCTGTTACTTCTTCCAGTCGCGCACTAGCTATCCAAGCTGGTGGATGATTAGGGTTTGTCTCTCTAACAGATTTTAAGAGCAGTCTGGCCTTTTTTATGTCATTAATATCACCGCCATATGTTGGTATCATGGACTGTAAATCAGTTAAGTAGCCTTTAGGGTCAACAACTGTTTGTCCTGTAACCGAGTCTGACACTTGGGACAATTTGACAGTCATTAGGGTGTTTCTTGCTTGACCAATTTTTCTTAAATCTAAGTCACCTAAAAAAGTTAAGATATTTTCATGAAGAAAATACAATAAATAAGTTGAATACAAATTGCTATTTCATTAGGTTTTCACAAGGTAAAAAGTTTAGGTTAACTTTAGTTCAAAAAACTACTTACCTGATGGAGTCAACATTCCTGGAGTCATCACACCAGGCATCATAGATGCCAAACCTGATCCAGGATCAATGGAAGTGGTTGACTCCCCTCCAAGATTCCTTGACAAAACACTGTCTGGTAGTGGGGTGAATTTTTCTGCACGTGGATTACGCTGTTTTCTATTACGGGCATCTCCCACTTCTGGAATGGCAGCCCATTCCTCTTCAGAAACTTGCTTCAGTTCTCTTTTGAGGTCAGAAAATTGTTGCTGAATTTTGGGTCTAAAATGAAAATTTTAACAAAGTGTAATATAAAAATAATTATTAAACTTATTATAATTTGAAGATATTATGAGCAATTTTTATTATTAATATGTATCTATAATTTGATGGCATTTCTGACCTTTCTTGACGATATCGTTCTAAATCTTCTTTTAGTCGTTTTTCTCTGTACTCTTTTCTTTTCTCATCCATGCGTTTGTCAATAGACTCATAAATTGCATCTGCTTCAGCATCATCCTTATCATAAGGATCCTGGAAACATATTTATGAATACTTAATGTGGTTAAACAGGTTAATAATTATTTTTGACATTATAATTTTAGTTGGAAGGAGAAAAGAAACTAAGCACCAAAGACAATATTGTGTGCCTTTGAAATATTACTTGCTTATTGACACAGATGATTTTATCAATGGCAAACTTATAGTACTGAGTCTATATAGCATCAGCACATATACGTTATGCCTACAGAGATGAACTCACCCACCAGCCTGGTCAGTGATTGGTTATAGACCAGGGGTGGGCAAACTTTTCTGTTAGCAGGCCGGTAAATTAAAAAAATTCTTGCCGCGGGCCAGAAAATTAAAAAAAATATATTGCCGCGGGCCAGTAATTAAATAACATTCAGGGCAATGCTACTATGCAAAAAGTTTTAAAATATCATTTTTTAGAAACTCTAATGAGATTTTTTTATTTTTATACTTTTTCACATAAAAAAATTGTCACCTTAGCAGTATTGTTATAAAAAAAAACGAGATTTTTATGTTTTAAGTGTAGATAAAATATTTTTTAGTTTAAAAAAATAATCTAATTAAAATTTTTGATATTAAAATTTTTCTGAAAAACGCTCAGCGGGCTGGATTAAAACCTCATACGGGCCGGACCCGGCCCGCGGGCCGTATGAGGTTTTAATCCAGCCCACCGAGCGTTTTTCAGAAAAATTTATTAAAACCTCATACGGGCCAGACCCGGCCCGCGGGCCGTAGTTTGCCCATCACTGGTTATAGACAATAATATAACCTATATTATTTCCGTTATGTGTTGTTGTAGTACCCTTGTTGTTTCTCATGTTCATAACACAAATAACCAAGAATTAAATATGGAGATTTGCTCCCCCACAACACATAAAACACAAATATACATTCTGACAGTGAAAAGCAAACACATAGTAACCCACAAAACCAAAATGGATCTTTGAAGCAAAATAACTTTTTTTAAATAGACAATCTTAAGAACTTCCTTGGCACAAAATCTGTGACCCTAATTAGATTAACACAAAAAATAAGATTTTTATAATGATAAAGTAAAAAGGTCTGCTTTGAAAACAAAGGTTTGATTTCCAGTGTCAAATTATGCCTAAAAACAATTAAGATTTTCAACATTTTATTTTAGTAAGTGATTAAATATACCTTTGAAAACAAAGAACCACTATATCCAGAAAACTCATCATAGTTAGAATCATTTAAGTCTTCATCATCATCTTCTTCTTCAGTTTTTTTTCGTTTAGCAGCTGGTGGAGCATGTCGATCATCTCTGAAAACAAGTCATAATTATTTGATTGCTTAAAATCACTATCTAACTAAAGTTTCAGTTGACTTAGTAAATTAACAAAATTAACATTATTAGTTTGTAACTTAGTGTAGGCTTTACATAATATTAAGTATGATTATATGAGGCTAAAACTTTTGATAGGGTGACAGGGTATGCAACTATCACACAATTTGTAAGTGAGACAAATTGAATTTGGGGGCTTTTTTCAACAGGGTTATAATTTGATTTAGATCACAATTATCTCAAATGATGGCTACATTTACATTACAATTTGAAAGAAAGTTTAAAACTAAATATAAGAATGTTTTACTTTATATTATACTACTGCATTTACTTTATAATTAATTGATTTGCTAACACTTACGACACATCATTTGCATCACGGGCTGGACCGATATCCGATCGTGTAGTAAAACCAGTGGCACTGCAAAGACAAGTATATGAAACATAAATATATTTCGATTAAATCCAATAATAAACATTCTCATTAACAACTAACTAATATTAATGGAGTATAAACACAAATGCATACGAGAAATAGATCAGTGAATATCTACATACCCTCTACCAACTCCAGCAACATAACCTAAAGGAGCTGGAATACCAAGGAAATGTTTCTTATGTTTGTTAACAAATGCTTGTGGTGGAACAGCCATATTCTTTTTTCGTTTAATGAACAAACAAGCACATATATCGTATTTCAATAATTCATTCCCTCTATAAAGAAATTTTTGTTTTGTCAACTATTTTGTTCTTATCACAGACTTAGTAGGTATCAGACGACCAACTTCCTAACAAAAAATTTCTTCGTAGAACGTGATTGGGAGCCAGTGATACATGACAGCTTCATTCGTTTTAAATATATAGAATTACTATCGGCAAAGGCATTTAGCTATACAGCCCTGTTTTGGGTAGGTACCTAGCCGTCTTCCTAGTTTCCACATTATTTAACTTTAATTTAAATTCCTTTTTTGTTTTAATACAACAATAACAATAAAGCAGACTGATAAGTCTAGCTTATTATTATTGTTGTATTAAAACAAAAAAGGAAAAACGAACACGTAAATAAAACACACATTTTTCCAATATTATATTTATTAAATAATTAATTTTTAACATAATATATTTTTCACAGCTTTCTTCTGCATTCTCGGCAATTCTTAGCTACGTTTTTTTAGTGGCACAACCTTATGAAACTTTTCAAGGTAATCACATTTTTTTTTTAAAGAGGGCACTGATATTTGCATACCTTTTTATACACATATTTAAGTTTTTCTAAAAGTTCAATTGCCTTTGGCCAGAAAGAATGATGCTCTTTTCCTTTATGCTTCTTTTGTTTATCGATGCTCCATTGACACTATCAAATAATTGGTCAAAGATGAAACAACTTCAGCTGTATTTCTTAATGTTGTGCTGACGGGCCTGCCATCCACATAAGTTACTGCAAATTAAAATATTCATATAATAATTGTATGAAACTTGATTCAAAACTATTAACTGTTAGTAAATTTCATCTAATACTCACAGAAATTTGCAGTGTAAGACAAAGCTGCAGACATATTTTTACATAATTATTTACCTGCAAAAAGAGATACCATATTTAAAATTATCTTCATTAGAGAATCATTATTGTAATTTAAGTGTAAACTATATTAACTACTTGTTACATAATTAAAAATACAGGTCATTGAATCAACACTTGCTCTGATTGAGAATATAGAAGCTGAATACAAATTATTTCTTTTATTTATACTAATTTAAGTTATACTAACAAAATAACCAATGCATTACCTTCATCATTTTAATTTTATCAGGTATAACTCATTGGTCATTTAATTTATGACGTAGCCCAGCTTCAGTGTGTTGATAGTCTGTCTTATAGACATAAATAATATCATGCCATTTTGCAAGTTTACTATCCAATATTATTGTTTTTGTTAAAAAATTGTTGCTGATACATTTTATCAAGTGTGTAGAATTATAATGTTCAAATCCACCCCACATATATTAAGAATGCCAACTGAAACAAAAATGTAAGAATTTCTTAAAACATAGATAACAATATAAAAATAAGAACCTTCACTACTTTCATTAAATCTATTAGTTTTCTTTCATATAAATATAATTCTCTGTACCAACCTGTGATTTCAATTTAAAATTTGATCACACTGTCTTCTTTTAGATTTTTGAGAGCTGATTGGAAAGCTGAGCCTTGGTCATTTATTATTGCTTTGGGATTAAGGTTTTTTTTAGGTTAAGGTTTAAAACAACTTTATTTACTACTAACTTTAAAATATTCTTGATGTACAGTAGATGTCGCTCCTTGACAGAAATACTAATAAAAAGGCTGTTGCCACTTGTAAACAGCACCAACATAAATACAAGAGTATGATCTGCAAAATCCACTTTCTTTTCTTGGTGTTCTACAATTCCATTAATGTTATCTTTAATCCTTATTACTTTCATTATATGAAAGTGCTGTTTCTAATGACATTTCATCAAATATAATGGAGCATATTTTTTTGGAGTTTCATTAGTCCACCTGAAAAAGTAAATTCAAATAGGTAGGTACATATTATTATTTGGTAGTAATACAAAAAATTATAAAAGTAGTATGAAAAACCTTATATGGAATATATTTACCTTTTACATGAAGCCTGCTTCTATGATCAATTTTCTAATCATAGTATTCAGTGTAGTTTTGGATGATTTAGACTCTGCTTTGATATTGATAAAGCAATTATCTTTTCTTCGGTAGTGAATCACCTCTCATGTTTATTTTTAGAGCACATGCTCACTTGCATTTCAAAAACATTTTTTGCAACTGTGTTCATTTTTTGTCTGAACTTTTCAAATGATAACTTTTTACAAAACTTAAAGGTATTTAAGTATTCTTAACTTTATTATGAAAGTTCAACTACGTCTTTGGCTTGTTATATTCTTCATAAATTCTCTGGTTTAAAGCTGACAATTGGCTTTATTTGGTAATAAGCCTTTTCCTTTTTGTTTGGGTACATTTCACAGAGTCTGTAACATCAAAAGTATTCAGTGAATTTCTCTATTACTACTATTTGATTGAAATAAAGATACATTAAAGAAAGAGACGGGTCTTACCAGATAATTTAGTTTGTGTTATATTTTAATCTCCAGAGCAAGCAACTAATTGAGTAAACTCAGTGGCTGCAGACACAGGAGTCTCAATTTGTCCTTTTAAAATTACACCACCCTGAAATCAATATTGATTATGTGTGTAAGATTAAAAAACAGGATATAATCTTAGATGATATTAGAAATATGTTATTTATATTATCAATTTATTCTAGAGTTAAGTAACTTCATGTAATTTTTCTTTTTTCTATATGTAAGAGACTTCTACTAGACTTTTTTAAAGCAAAAATCTATATTAAAATACACCAAAACTGCAGCATGAACTTTGTTATCTAAATAAAATAAATAAAAAACAAACCTCTGTTCAGTTCCACTTTCTAATATGTGTGGTCAACATGACTTTTTCTTGCTGTGTTCCCAAGTGAATATAATTTCTGTAATAAAAAAAAATCTAATGAAGAATAGCGGTATTCCAAAACACAACATAATGTAATTAAAATTATATGTATCTTCACTTTATCTAAAGGTAATAGCAGATTAAACCAGCCTTACCAGTATTGCTTGAAGAGGGTAGGCTGATTGAGAGCCCATCATCAATAAACAATGACGGATATGCATCACCCAAGAGTCATGATTTTGGAGTGATGAATCTTGGTACAACATGTTTGCTAGAAATTACACTTCTGCCTGGATTAAAATTTTCAGTATCACACACAGCACTAAGACATTGTAACCACTTGGAGAATCTTTTCTCGTTCACTAGAATCTTATAAAGAATAGCATCCTGTTCGTACTTTAACAATGCGTGTAACACAACACACCAATTTCTTAGGCATCTTCAACAAATAAAAATACTTCGAAAAATGGAGAGTTTATATTCAAATAAAGCGAAGACGGTAAGCACAAAAGAAACTTTACTCAATCACTTGTAATTCCCTGATATGTAGGTACATACTTTAGTCTTCTTCTTCTTTTATTAATGGCATATCTGCGCATTTCACACGATTTTGCCAATGTGAAATGAATAAATTAATTCCAACATGTAAAATGAATTAAAGATTGATTAAGACATTACTATCTTTACTCTTTGTTGTAATGACAGTTTCTGTCAGGTGTCATGTCTCCATCTACTGACAGGGGTGAGGGGCGTGAGGAAATGTCATACATCACTGGACCCCTACGCGATTGGTTTATTGTACGGAGTTGACGGGCCGTGGTTCTTATACATGACATTGACAAACGAATATTTCTGGTCCTTGTTGAAGTCATGGACTTAGTACCTAATTATAAAAATTGCTCTTTGTGCAGAGGCTAATCCGAGAGAGATAGTCATAAAAGAGGCTATATGTCTCGTTCTTTCATGTAAACATTATAAAAAAAAATCTTTCATTAACAATTTAAGCTAAAATAAACTCAATGGAAAAACTTTTATTTTAATGGAAACTATTTTAAAAAATTAAGAAAACTATATAATCACTTTAATTTCATTGCTATTAAATTATTACAAAAAGATAATATTAATAAGGAAGTATTTAAAAACTGAAAGCACTAAAAGAAGCAGTAGATGGCGACTCTAGCAAAAGTTGATTTATGCAAAAAACGAATAGACCAAAGATAGTCATTTCCGTTGCTTATAACTAACATATTAAAAATTGAAATTTGAAAAGTTCGAGACTTAGATATCAATACAAATACGAAAAGGTACAAATAGAATATGAGTTGTTTATTGAGTTTTGAAAACTAATTTACTTTTAAACATGAAAGAAAACTGGAAGGGTTGTCATGGAGAAATCAAGAACGTACCGTTGCGTCATCTAGTTTGATTTCGGGAACTAATTTTTTTTTTTAAATACTTCCTTCAAATCCAAATCCATATTTTCCTACTATCACTTAACCCTTTACTGCATGATTTATTATAGCGTTGAAAAAAAAAAATATTTCAGTGTGGAAATAGCTTTATTTAATCATCAATAAGACATATTGAGAAAGAAATTTAATTTTGAATAAGTTTTATATTTTGGATTTTTTTTTTACGGAACCATATATGGGCTCGTATGCATTGAGACAAAAACCATTACAGACACATATGGTATTGTATGCAGCAAAACAAAGAATTTATAGAATATTGAAAAAATAATAACAATATAATTATATTAATTATAAGTGAAATTGAAAGAAACAGTTTCTTTTTTCATTATAGCATAAAAAAAACTTTACACTTGGAGCATTTAGTATAAGTTTTCATTGAGCATACTTGACAATGCTGACGATTCTTCTGCCATTCAGGCTAATGACCTATACTGTCCGTCCTTACAGAGTTTAGGGGAAGCTCTTGATGTTTTTCTGGGATTTTTCTCGTCTTTTTAGATGTAGGTGTTCCAAGATTTGATCTGAATGGGACAGGCATTGAGGGAACATCGCTTTCGGAATCTAAATCATCATCATCACTTAGCATGCCATCACCAGGAATGAAATTAGTATGAAGGTTTTTTCCGTAAAAACGCGCTGGGTCCATTCTGCCAAGCAAGAGAAAAGGCAAATTTTTGAAGCAAGCAAAGCATAATAAATAAATAAAATGTATAAAAATGTGTAATATGTATAAAATTTTAGCTGTTATAAATAAATAAAACTTTAAATGCTCATTTGCTTGAGTGCATACGATTCCATATTTGTCCTAGCAAAAAAGTCTA